TTTTTTTTTTTTTTTTAACATTAATTAATTTTTTTTTGAGGTGGAATCTCACTCTTGCCCAGGCAGGAGTCCAGTTGTGCCATTGCAGCTCACTGCAACCTCCGCCTCCCGGGTTCACGCCATTCTCCTGCCTCAGCCTCCCGAGTAGCTGGTCTCTATCTCCTGACCTCTATCTCCTGACCTCGTGATCTGCCCGCCTCAGCCTCCCAAAGTGCTGGGATTACAGGCGTGAGCCACGGCATGTAGCCTGTCAAGATATTTTTCTTTTATCCCAAACTGCTTTGTTCTAACTTACCTTTTTGTTGTTCTTGAAAAGCATATCGAATTTAGAGTTTTATTAGGTCCAACAATAAAATTATGCTCATATTTTTCTTTTTAAAGAGACAGGAGGCAGATCATAATAGACCATGAGGAATTAAGATTTTTGCTTTTTTGAACGTACTAGGAAACGAGGGTTTTGAGAAAATGCTCAGCAGAGCTTGGCACGGAGTAGAAGTAGAGTAATGTTAACAATAAAGACTAAAATTAAAATGTTATGAAAATCATCATTAGTTATTTTCTGCCAGATTCTTAAAGTAGATATTTTGATCTGTTGAGATATTTTGAGTTATTTCTCATAGGCTTAGTTTAATTATAAGTTGTGACTTACTACAAATTAGTATACCCCCCCGCCTTTTTTTTTTTTTTTTTTGTCAGTGATAACCTGAGGGCCAGCAAGAAAGTTTTAACTGTTAGGAGAACTCAATTTAACATAAAATTTAAACAGTAGGTGAAAGCAAATATTGCAGTCGCAATCTTCAGAGAGTCATTTAATAATTTGGGAGTCGTGACAAAGATTCTTTGGTTAACCAACCTTTAGGCAAGCAAGCCCTTAAACCTTCTCCTAGGCCTAGCTGTGTAAAATCCAATTTTAGCACGAACCCTGTAAAACCAGTTTAGCAAGAACTCTTCCACAATGTAGACCATTCCCAGGTGATGTCTGATCACCCTGGCTTGTCTTCAGCAAGAATCCTGTTAGGGTTTAGCCAGAGTCTCCCTTTCTCTGGATGTTATTTTTTAGTCATTTCACATCCACTGAATGGGATGAAAGCAAACCCACCTTGCTCCTTGGCTATACTTGCCCTTGCTGTTTCCCTACTGTCTCTCCCTCACTGAGTTGAGCCCAGTCTCTCTCCCCAACTGCAACATCACATTGCCATGGTTCCTATATCTATTGAGATGATCCTGAATAACGTCTGCCTTACCATGCTTTAACAAGTATCACTGAGTAATTTTTCATTTAACAGTTATGGTGCTGTGACTCCGATAGGATCAGATTCATCATTGGACCCCCAGACCTCTCACCCAGGACCCCAAGTGTGCACCTTTGAAGCCATTGTCTTCACTCCTGACTGATAGATCGGGGATCCAATGGTGAGTCAGACTATGAACCATTGCTCCGGACAAACATCCGTTGAAGCTGGTAAGGAAAGATTTCGATTCTCAAGATTGTGAATATATTCTCTGGAGTTGGGCTAGAGGCCAGGCTTCTTTTGAAAGGTACCTCCTGGGCTTGAAGGTCTTCCTGGCTCTCTTTCCTGAGTGGAGTTTATTCCCTGACTCCCTGGACTAAAAGTTCTTGGAACTCTGTGAGGCTACTCTGTTCTCTGTAATGGATCCTACTTCTCCCATGGCAATTTCTCTGGCATCTGAATCCCTTCTTTTTGAGCCCCTGCTAACTCTATTGCTCCACCACTCATTTTGTCCACCTCCTCCTTGTTGAACCTTTATTGGCCTCTTTGGGATACTTAGGATCTCTCCAGACCGCATCCTGTAAGCTCTCTTTCTTCCCATTGCTACTGCTCCTTATTCCTCCTCTTACCACCTTTAATGTTCTCTCCGGTTCCCTTAAGCCCTTTGATAAGACTCCCTTCAAATCCATCTGTCCACCCACTGCTAGACTTTTTCCTTCCCACTCTGGACTCTTAGTCACTGGGACTGTAGGCCCCCCACCCTCCTGGGGATCTCTCAGGGGACTTGGGGACTCCCAAAAGTAATGACTTGAGGTTGAAAAGGAAAAAGAATAATTGGAAATAGACTAAATATTTTATCTACACTCAGATGGGCTTTGGAGATATCCAGACAGCCCCTAGATGTTTCTTCAGCCTCCATAAGATTACACATGGCAAAAGAAAAAATTTTTTTTTTTTTTTTGAGATGGAGTCTCCCTCTGTCACCTAGGCTGGAGTGCAGTGGCATGATCTTAGCTCACTGCAACCTCCGCCTTCCAGGTTCAAGCAGTTCTCCTGCCTCAGCCCCCTGAATAGCTGGGATTACAGGCGCCTACCACCACACCCAGCTAATTTTTGTATCTTTAGAAAAGAGGAGTGACCTCGTCCAATTTATGTTTTCTTAGGTATACTGTAAGCTGGACTCGTAAGACCTGGGCTCATATCCTAACTCTACTATTTATTTTATTTTATTTTATTATTATTATTTTTTAGATGGAGTCTCGCTTTGTCACCCAGGCTAGAGTGCAGTGGCACGATCTCGGCTCACTGCAGCCTCTGCCTCCCAGGTTCAAGAGATTCTCCTGCCTCAGCCTCCCAAGTAGCTGCGAATACAGGCGCATGCTACTGCGCCCAGCTAATTTTTTGTATTTTTAGTAGGGACGGGATTTCACCATCTTGGCCAGGCTGGTCTGGAACTCCTGACCTTGTGATCCACCCGCCTCAGCCTCCCAAAGTGCTAGGATTACAGGCTTGAGCCACCGCGCCCAGCCTCTACTATTTATTTTAGACATAATACTGAATGCCCCCAAAATCTCATTTTCCATTTCTAGAAAATGGAATTGAAAATGCCTACCTCAGCCGGGTGCGGTGGCTCACATCTGTAATCCCAGCACTTTGGGAGGCCGAGGCAGGCAGATCACAAGGTCAGGAGTTTGAGACCAGCCTGGCCAATATGGTGAAACCCTGTCTCTACTAAAAATGCAAAAATTAACCAGGCGTGGTGCCATGTGCCTGTAGTCCTAGCTACTCAGGTGGCTGAGGCAGGAGAATTGCTTGAA